GGAAAGAGGGGGAGTGAGAGAGAATGTTAGGGTATCCGCGTACCCTCTGCCTGTGTCTCACATACCCATAGGTTGAGAAACTATGATCTGGACAAGTATGTCAGCAAACAATAAATATCTACAGTTCTATCTCACTCTAGTCCAGGGGTGGGCAATTATTTGGGCTGAAGGACCACTTAGGGAGTTTTAGTGAGGTGTTGCAGGCTGGAGGGGGCTGGGGTATGGGGGGAGTATTGACTTTTTCCAGTGGAGTGGGGGAAGGGCAATTGATATCAATCCAGCCCAGGCCTGTCTGCCCTGCACCCACCACCAGGGTGCCAGATGGAGCAGGCTGGTGGAGTCTCTATGGAGGCTTGCTGGGATCCCCACAGGCAGAATGCGCTCAGCCGGGCAGATGGAATGGGGCTGTGGGTGGTTGTGGGGGGCGGTCAGGATTGCACAGCGGTGACAGCATGGAGCTGGAGCCAAAAGCAGAGATGTGATCTGCTCCCTGCATATCTGAATTGGGGCTTTGCCACAAGCCCCAGCTCCACATTGTCACCACCCTACAATCCAGGCCTCACCTGGCCATCCCGCTTCCATACACCACAGTCCCATCCCATCCACTTGGCTGAGTGCGCCTTGCCCACAGGGGTCCTAGGCTGGTGTCCATACATGGGGACTCTGTACACACGCTTCATCCGGCGCCCCCAACAGTGGTGTGGGGTGAATGGGCTGGGGTGCCTGGGCAGGGTCCAGGTCCAGGTCCAGCAGTGGCAGCGACATTGAGAGTGTCAGTTGGAAGGAACCAGGGCTTCCAGGAAACTGAGTCTGGCTGCTGCACTACCCCTGACTTACTGTGCTCCAAGGGGCGGCAGGTCTGGCCGCATGTGTCACAGCCTGGGCTGCCTCTTGCTCTTGGGCCAGGCAAGGCAGAGGGACCTATCACGGGCCTAATAGAATCCCTTGGTGGGCTGGATCTGGCCAACGGGCCGTATTTTGCCCACCCCTGCTTTAGTCACTAAATACACGTTTGTGTCTCTCCTGCCTGGTTGAAGAACAGAGTAGCAGGAACAGTGAACTCCACACAGCTTTATATAGTTATTTTGTAAGCTATTTTAGCTAGCATTTCTTAACTTTTTCTCTTGTTAAATCAAGAGGCAGGTAGATTGTCTCCCCAAAGAATAAGAGGCTGCAAGTGCTGCTGCAGTAGCCATAATTTGGGCCATTGCTGTTACAGAGTTAGGTGAAGTCTGGGGGAAGGTCAGAGTGCTACAATTTCCTGTCTACAAATAGCCGCTTTTCAGGGTCTCACTGGCATTCACACCGCGTTTTGGTAGATGAGCCTCACATTGCAGACAACTGTTTCAAAGACTCCAAGTCAGGAAAAGGAGTATATTCTGATAGAAATAACTACAAAAATATTTATAGAGTTATCGATTCTTCTACCAGCATCTTCCCTAAAGAATAATCTCCCTTGTCCCTGCTTCCCGCACCATTCCTCCCACCCCATCGTCTAGTACCCTTGCTTGCAGATAACTTGTGGGATAAAGGAACACTGTCTTCAGTGCTTGGTTATTGTTTATAATTACTGTATTTATTTGCATACCACATACCCCAAAATAATACACACATTCTTCTGTTGGGAAGGAAGAATGAAGAATTCTCCAGAATCCTAACTGCCACAGCTTGAACACTGCCCCCAGGCAGGAAGGGCAAACCCCACTTCTCTGTGTCGTTCAGTCTCTAGCTGCAGCTTCAGAACTAGTTTCACCGCTCAGCACCTGTAACAGTGTGGTCCTCAAGAGTACACTCTGCCCCTACCTTGTGGGATGAGAAAGAAGCACAGCCCATGGCAGTCATTACTGGGATCCATTAAATAGCTATTACATGCTTCAATTGCAGTGCAGAAAATCAGCATCCCTGCTTATGACATATGCACCCTAGTTTTGGAGGGCTGATTTAGGAGGAAGGTATATGTGGTATATAGCATTAGTTTTCAACCTTTTTTGTACCAGGACCCATTTCTAAACATCGATGACCAGTCCTGACCCCGTGCCCTTCACTCCCAACCTGCTGACCCCTGTCTCCTGTGGGAGGGGGGCATAGGGGTCTCCAAGCAGCCCCTTGCAGGCTGGAACTCTGCCAGCCAGCAAGGGAAAAGCCACGATTTCTCACATTTTTCTCCTTTAAGGGGGAATCCATTTTTAAAGTTTGTTTGCAACCCTTTCATGACCCACAGGTTGAGAAATGCTGGTATATATGGCATTGTCTCAGTTATTGCACTCGCCTACCTTGTAATACAAAGAGTCAGCCCTAAGTACTTACAATCTTGGGTTTTGGTGGGCAACGTTATGTCTGTGACTGAAGTGAAAAAAACTATGATGGAAAAATGGTATTCTCTCCCATACCTGCTAATTTTGTAGAAACTAGAAACCCAGAAGAAATAGCTTTTTAGTTTAAAAAACTATTAAGTTTATTAAACTTTTGTGGACACACAGTAATGCACAGCAAAGCTTCAGTCCTATTTGAGAATAATAGGGCCTGCTAGTCTTGAAAATGTTGAGACTTTCAGTTATGAAAAATAATGGCAAAAATTACAAAATCAGTATTTGCTTAAATGAAATTTATTTTTATTTTTTTAAACTCGAGAGTAGGCACGAAGGAGAAGACTTTAAGGTGGGTATCTGTGCCTATACATTTGTGTATGAGAGGCTTGCAAGAGAAGTATGAGGGGAAACGCACGTTCTGGTGAATTTGTGCTGCTCTAAA